TCAAACATATATTTTATTCAAAAATAAAAACATCATCGCTTTCTCAAAATCATATAAAGTCATATTATAACATCGACTGAGATAAAGAATAAAATGAAATATTAAAAACACGATGTATCTCGCTGCATTGCGCGAGTACGCTTCTAGTAAAAATATATAATTTAAAAAATATGTATTTTTAATACTTAATTAATTAATAATAATATATAGTTTATTAATTTATATAATTATAGTATAGATTAAAAATTAAAAAAAGTAAATGATATAATAAAAAAAATTAAAAATTGAAAGATTAGAACTAAAAATATTAGAGGGTTAAAATTAAAAATAAAATAAATTGAATTTAACGTATTTTGTTGTTTTATATAACAAGGATATGAAAAAAACATAGAAAAAGAAAATATAGGAGGGGTGGGAATTATAACCGCTACTAAAACACGTCTTCCTCACAACTTCACAACACACAGCAAATATGTAGCTGCTTTAGACAGAGAAAGTGAAGCAAAAAAGCAGCAATCTTCACGAGCTCCCTTCATCTCTCTCTCTCTCTCTCTCTCTCTCTCTCTCTCTCTCTCTCTATATATATATATATATATAATATGTATATATTGCAAGTAAATTATTAACAAGGTAGCATCATATGCCACTGCTATTATTGCTGTTATTATTATTATTATCATCGTCATCACCACCTATATCTCAGCCATCGCTATTATTTTATTAAAACCCTAATTTTTGTTGGGTGTTTGTGGTTGTGCACGTAAAAGCTTCACGGGGTTTCACCTCACTTTCCCTGTTCTATCTCTATCTCTATTCCCCAACCAAAATCATACAACTTTCTCTCCAATCCCTGTGATCGCTCTTTTGCCACGTTGTCCAACTCTCTGGTTTTGATGAATTCCGCCATCAAATGAAATTCGACTAGATTTTTTTTTTTTTTTTTGTCTTGTTTACGTGGATGATTGTAATGTGAGTTGGAGGTTTGAAGGGTCGGACGAGGTTTGTTTTGTTAGGGTTTTGGGTATTGTATTGGTGAAGAGTAAGATGGATCGATCTGCGCTTACGGTGGGTCCGGGTATGGATTTGCCTATCATGCACGATAGTGATCGCTACGAGCTGGTGAAAGACATTGGTTCTGGTAATTTTGGGGTGGCGAGGTTGATGAGGGATAAGCAGACTAACGAGCTTGTTGCAGTCAAGTACATCGAGAGAGGTGAGAAGGTCAGTGTGTAAATCGAGTATCTATTTTTCACTTCTATGAATTTTCTAATATTTTTCCGGTTCTTCTTCGAGATTCTTGAAGTTCAGTTCTGCAACATTTTCCATTTGTTTTCTTCCCGTTGATCATGACTTGATTGTTGAAATTGAATTGAACTGCTTCCATGAGCTCTCTAATAGGAATCCAATCTCATCTTGTGATTGGAGGCTGAAAACAGGGCCAGAAGAAGGGGTAGCAGAGAATTAATAAACAGAGATGATCGGACTCAGGACTTCATGGTTTTGGATAAGACCTGGACTTCTTGTTTGTTTTTAGGTATAAATTCGATGAGTATGGTACATTGGTAGGTTGGTACTAGTGTTGCTTCTTGCAATCGAGACTGAATCGGAGCTCATAATTGTACCAGTTCATTAAATTTGTGGAATAAGAGAGGAAAACTAATTCAACCCAACAATTATTAGGTACTGCTTGATGCTGAATTACAAGTATTCAAAACACCATGTACCATATTCCAAGAATGATCACATATGTGTAAAACATGGTTTATGTGGTTTTTAGAGATAAAAAAGCCAATCGTTCTTGTGTACAAACTTACTGAAAGAGGAACGAAGATCCAAGTATGACACTTCTGATAAAAAATAACTATTTTTGATTTGAATCAAATTACATGAAATAACCAGCAGATTCTGGCCTTTCAGGCTTGCGTAAGTTTGTCTATATCTACTTAAGATTATACTTTCTTGCTTTTGTAAGGTGGTTCTGACTCTTGGTGCATCTTATTTCAGCATATATCCATTTATTTTGTTGACTCGAGTCTTATCTTATCTTTCTGATTGTTACTGATTCTTTTATCATGAATCCAACAGATAGATGAAAATGTACAAAGGGAAATTATTAACCACAGATCACTTAGGCATCCCAATATTGTCAGATTCAAAGAGGTTTGTTCATCCTCAAAAATAATGTTTTGAAGTAGTGGCTATGTTGAGAAATGAGGTTCTTAATTATGAGCTTTCACTTGATCTCCAGGTCATTTTGACACCAACACATCTGGCTATTGTAATGGAATATGCATCTGGAGGAGAGCTGTTTGAGCGGATATGTAATGCTGGCCGGTTCCCTGAAGATGAGGTTCATTCCTAATGCCTTCACTTCAACTTGTATCTATGCTTTAGTTTTGTATGAAAGGATCAATGGTTCTTGCGTTACAGGCGCGCTTCTTCTTCCAGCAACTCATATCAGGAGTCAGTTACTGTCATAATATGGTATTAATAATTTTGTTTCTATACAAAGGCTTCCTCGATATATATGTATATATATATATATATGTGTGTGTGTGTGTGTGTATTTGTTAAGGATGAATTTATGTTTTTGTAGCAAATATGTCACCGTGACTTGAAACTGGAGAACACCCTTTTAGATGGTAGCCCAGCTCCTCGGCTAAAGATTTGTGATTTTGGGTATTCCAAGGTACAAATCATCCTATTTTTCTTTCTGTTGATATATTTTTCTATGCGCTTCCTGTGCTCCTGTCTCAAACAGTATTATATCATTCTTTTGTTCGTTATTTTATGAAACTTAAAAAACTTATGTTGATTTGTAAATACCAAAGTGCAACTTCTTTGTATATAGGCTTTATGTAGGCCAATAGGCAACAATATCAGGTGAACTCAAAGTTCAACTCCTTGTTGATCCTAATAAAAAGATGTAACAATTTACTGGTGTTTCTTGTTTCTCTGTGCAATCTTGGGGTTCTAACAAAAAATCCCATACTTTTCTTGGTTAACCGCCAAGCTACCCTTAAAAAAAGTAAGACTGTTGGTCTTGCTAAAGAAAAGAGTCTTTAAGCTACCTAAATCTAATAACTTAATCCCTTGATTTTTTTGCTCAGTCATCTGTGCTGCATTCGCAACCAAAATCTACTGTTGGAACGCCTGCATATATTGCTCCAGAAGTCTTGCTTAAGAAAGAATATGATGGCAAGGTATATGCATTCTTCGTTTTTGTAACTTCTCCTCTCCTTTCTGTGTGTCATGTTTGCTTTAGGACTAATAAACAACTATGTAGAATAGAGATAAATCCATTTATGACATTTTAATATCGGGTACGAAGTGTAGGCCTCTTTGGGGTAGAAATAAGTATCTATGATATAGCGGAAATCTTATAAAATGATGTTTCTATGCTCGCTTTTGAACAGCTTTGTTGGCTCCCTATCTTTATATCATGTTGACCTACTATCTTTATTGCATGTTGACCTATTATAACCAAAATGAAGCATTCTGAAGCTTTCGTATGAAAGAAGTTGTATATGTGGACAATAGGAAGACGGGTGGAATTGTTCTCTTTCTCTTCATATAGGAACTGTGTAATGTAATTGCTCATAGTCAATCAATTTTTCTCATAATATTTGCATTCCTGGTCTTCCTTAGTTTCATTGCTAGAAGGAGGGGTTAAATTGATCTAGAAACCATATTACATTCATTGCAAATGTAGATTCTTTACATCATTATTCTTGCTAGAAATGAATTGGCATTGATGATGAAGTTGGTTTAACAACATTATATAGGTGTTACTCCTATTTTAATAGCATGTCTAGTTCTACAACCATATCCATGATATTTGGCCCTTTAGCAATAGTCCCACCTTATAGCTTAAGGAAGTCTGTTGTCATTTTCTTTTTTGTTGCTCCCTCTGTCTCATAGATAGCGTCATCTTTTGATTTTGGAAGTCCAATGCCAATAATTTTCATATTCAAAATTGACAAACAATTATGATGTTTTAGCTCAAAATATTTTTATGCTGTAATACAATTTTCATGGGTAATGTAGTTATCACTTGCTACTCTACAACAAAAACAGTTCGTTCTAATCTGAAAGCTAAAAGGCTAAATCCATTTGATTCTCAAAAGTCAAAAGTGGACTCCGGTGGGACTTATAAAGAAGTATCAATTTAAGAAAAAATGGTATTCACTAGGTTATTCGGCCAAATGCATAAAAATTTTATGTGCATTGTTATGTGACAATAATAAAAGTTCGTGGAGAAGCATTCAAGGCAGGGAGAGCGATAGCTTCCTTATGAAGGACCAATAAATTGATAATTTGAGTACCTACTGGACATTTTGATCGAGTTTCTGGTTACAATGGTAGGTTATAGTATTTTTCTGATTAAAATGGACTGTTAGTATTTTAATTAACGAGTGAAGGTTCTTCTTCGCTAACATTTAACACCCCTCTTAAAAGTTAAAAGGAAGAAAAACTTGATGATAAGTTCTGAATCCAGGGGGTGGGGTAGGGGGAAGGCATCCCCACAAATAGACTATTCAAACTTTGAGATCTCTACTTTCCCGAGCAAGTTCCAACCACTTGAACGCCTGTCATTCTTTATCATTTGGATGCTTTGCTACTAGAGTTATGATGTATGCCTGTCAAATTGTGACAAATCATTTTGAACTCATAATTATCTTGTGATTAAGTTGAAGGAAGATGATTGCTGATTCTTTTTTATCAATTCAGATTGCAGATGTGTGGTCTTGTGGTGTAACATTATATGTGATGCTTGTGGGAGCTTACCCTTTTGAGGATCCTGAGGAGCCTAAGAATTTTCGCAAGACCATACAGGTAACATAACATGTATCATATGTTCTTAACATATAAGCGATCCCCTCTGCTATACTTGACTCAAGCGTTAGCTTTTTTGTGCAGCGAATTCTCAATGTCCAGTACTCAATTCCGTCCTATGTTCATATATCTGCTGAATGCCGCCATTTGATCTCGAGAATTTTTGTATCTGATCCTGCTAAGGTATGTTGCTGAAATCTGTCTTGTAAATTAATTTTTTCCTACTTCTTGGCGGTCACTTCAGTACATGGCTAATGCATCTTTTTGATAAACCAAGTGAGCTCAATAAATCCCACAAGGAGCAGTGTCTGTCTGGGTTGGACCCCCGGCTAGCTACGACCAATGAGTGATTAACTTTTTGAATTGTCAAACTTGGCCTTTTGCAACAAAGAGATCATTCTTCTTGAGAATTATAAAAAAGGCATTACATTTGGTAAGAATGAGCAATTTTGGAGAAAGATGTCAAGTACAATGGTCACTTATTTGCTTATTGCCCATTTAGCCCTTGCTACAAATATTTCATGATATGGATCTGGGTCACAAGATTTCCTTTTCTATGTCATTAGGGGGAATCATAGTGTAGACATATAACAAATAATCAAACAATTGCCTAAAACTTATGCGCAGTCACAAGTTACAATTTTCATATCATCTATTTATAAATGTTGAGGATGATTCTGAAAACATCAACAGCGGATAACCATGGACGAGATCAGAAGCCATGAATGGTTTCTACGGAAACTGCCAGCCGAGCTGATGAAAGACAATGCATTGGAGCAGTTTGGAGGAGCGGATGAGCCGAGTCAGAGCGTGGATGAAATCATGCAGATAATTGCTGAAGCTACGATCCCTGCAGCCGGAGCCAACAACCTGAACCAGTATCTTACTGGTAGCCTGGACATTGATGACGACATGGATGAGGATCTGGAGAGCGATCCGGACCTGGATATTGATAGCAGCGGGGAGATCGTGTACGCCATGTGAAGTTAGTGTTGTTGTATTTGCATATACTGTTTCTAAAAAGTGTTGTATCCTATACTTGCCATAAATGGGTGTTACTATGGTTGTACAATGTCTTCCCCCCTTTGTTTTTTCTTCCTTTTTTGGGGGGATATTATCAATAAATATGTGTACCATTGAATCAATAAGTTTTCTTTGTTTATTTTAGTAAATACTAGAAGGGTACTCGTGTAATACAACGAGATATATCTTGATATTAGTGTTTCGTTTTATTTTGCCTCTGTAGATAGTATAACATGGTTCATATAATTTTGAAAAGGGGATAATGTTTTTATATTTGACTGAAATATAAACTTGAAGATATTATAAAATTTTAAAAATAAATATGTCGATATTAGTATCAAATTAACTACTTAAAAGTTCTTGTTTTTTTGGATAATTTTTTAATTCATTTTTTTATTATAATTTAGTTTAGATTTAATAACGAAATAATTTATTTTTAATTTAATAATATAATTTTTTATAAGGATAATAATTAAGTATTTTGTTAGAACTCAACTATTATCTTAATTATATTTTATATTTTTTTATATTTAAAATAAAATATTTATCTTGTATTTGATTATGTTTATCTGCAGTTGGTTACACGAATTCAAACATGCAGCTTTAATAAATTATACGTGCAAATAGTTTATTTGTAATATTAAATTTTAAGTAATATGCATCAATAAACAGTACTTCATACATAAAAAAAATGATTTTTAAGAGTTTTGTCAAATACTTTATAATATACTATAGATATTAATGATAATGCCAAGGGTTTGGTTTCGGGGTGTTTTCACGTAGAGTTAAGTTGTAGGTTATTGGAGCTCGGCTAAAAGTTATTACTAGACTCGAGCTCTCTAATACCTTTTAAATAGTAGGGCTTGAGCTCAAGCTCAAATATTTTTTCAATATTTGAGCTCAATACCAATTTAGGGTGCATTTGATGTCCAGACAAGATAGGACATGATAGAACTATTCAGCGTTTGGTAAGATAAAACGGAACAAGTAAAACGACCAATTTACCCCTAATGAGTTGCTTATATATTTTAATTAATTTATGTAATTATTAAATTATAATAAAATATATCGTTAGAAATGATTTGTTGTGCAAAGAGTGCGTTATGACCTGTGGCCGCCTCTTTCAGTGGTTCTTGCTTGCTCTTTAAAGTTGTTTCGCTCCGAATTGAAGGCAAGAGCTCCTTCTCTCTCAAGTAGAATTCGAATATGACTCTCGCTAAACAAAAGCTCTGAGTTTTTGTCAAAACAATTAAAAGACACTAAAATAAAAAGTTTATATAGTTTCCAAATTTTATTTTATCCCTTTTCTACATTTTTTTATTATTAATATATAATAAAATACATAAATTAATAAAAATATAAAAACCGTATTAAAAATAAGATTTTATGGAAAGTAAAATAAAAGTTTAAAAAAAACATAAAACACAATAAATAAAATTTAAAGAATGAATAAAATGTAAAAAAAGATACTTATTTGATGTTTTACAAGAGAATTAAGTTTTATTTTAAGATTATATTGGTAAAATATAAGTTTTTTTCAACTTTGTTCCAACCCTGTACCATGGGGTAGGGGTGGAATACATCTGTTCCATTTTGTTTCACTATATTTTTGTCAGTTCCACATAAAAGTCTTACTAAACGTGGAACATATATCCTTGTTCTATTATGTCATGTGTAGTGTACCAAACAAATCTGTAAAGACTCGAACTCAAGTCTTATTAACACGGTCATTGGTGGTTTGACCTCTATAGTTTTTTACACCTTGATTTTATGATTTATAAACACATCCATGTGTTTGACATGAATTAAAAATTGTATGTTCGAATGACTTGTTCAAATATAATATATATATATATATATATATATATATATATATATATATATACACTTACTTTTGATTTGCAAAAGCCCATAAAATATTAATGTAAAATGTAATTTTCTAAGAGTGATGAACTCTCTAAAATCCCGAATACAGATGGTAGATCAATAGATGGTTTTCTCTTTTCATTTTTTAGTCGGGATTTGAGCCACCTTATGCTTATCTTAATTAACTACACTTAATTTGGTTGTATTTTTATTATAAAACAAAAGATATCAACGTCAGCAGTTTTTGTAAAAAGAAAAGTTGAAATCTATCATAATCTTTGCAAAACGAAGGTTGAAAACTACCTATATGATAGTATCTTTTAAAATCAAAGATTTAACAGATACAAAACATCGATAACCATTGTATTCAAGTAAAAGTGCAATCAAAACGCTTGCATTAATGATGCAAATATGCAACTCACATATGTTATATTACAAATGATCCTGAATTTATACCTCTTAGAAATTGCCTACAACTTAAAAGTGGCTATAAAAATCGTTGTTTTACCATTTTACTAAGGAGCCGTTCATCAAATGCTTACTTGGGTAAGTGAACATCAAGTCACATTATCTTACCCGATAAATATGGTAAGGACCAAAAATCTTACCTGGTAAGAGTGAGTCAAAGACCAAAAGTCTTACCCGGTAAGTAAGGACGACGATTCTTACCATAGTAAGCGCTTACCGGGTAAGTTGTTGCATACAATAACGTTTTGGTGGACTAAGGGGCTGTTTGGCAGTTGATTAATGATTTAGTACAGAATGATTAAGTGGTCATAATGATTAAGAGGTTATCATGATATAGTGCAAAATGGAATGTAATTGCTTGATAATTGTTTACAATGAATTAGAATGCTGAATGGTTAAGAGAGACTCATGATACAAAATCATTCAGAGGGTTTTAGAACCATTAAGAGCCAGACTCTTTTTTTTGTCAAACAAGATTTACCTCTTAACGATTCAGAGACTGTCTCTTAATGGAACTATTAAGAGATAAACAAACAACCCCTAAAATCTTACCCGGTAAGTAAGGATAGTGTTAAATTTTACCGGTAAACACTTCCGTAAGTGTTTGATAAACGGCCCCTAAATCATATTTAGGTTCAAACTAATCTATTTTATTTTATCCCTCATGAATATTTTTTTTCAAATTGAATTTCCAAAAATAAAAGTTAATAAAACATAAATAAATTATGAAATGAAAACAATAATTGAAGCATATGGATAAAAGAACACTTTTTAAATCAAAAGTGCAAAACTTTTTCTAATTCCGAGTTGGAGTTGCGGTCTAAATAAAATAACAAAAAAAATGGGGCATTCCGAGAATTGAACTCGGGACCTCTCGCACCCTAAGCGAGAATCATACCACTAGACCAAATGCCCTCTTTGCTTCCACTTTCACTAATTAACCATTTAACACTTGGGCTAAAAATCATTAAGAAAAAACACCAAAATACTGGTTGGAATGGATATGTAGTACGAAGTACATAACTTCTATTCCGATTTGATTTGCTTTGCTTTGCTTTCAAAAAGAATTACTAAGACAGCAAGTGGTAAAACAACTTAGAAGTAATAGGAAATGCTTCGGAAATACTATATAGCTCGTCAAACAGTGTCGTAAGTTGTGACATACGATGGTCAATTTTCAATAGTCAGATCGGAAATAAGATCATATCAAAGCATCTATCGTTCATACAAGTAAATATTTTCTAACTCTGGATCTTTATATATATCCGTATCTCAAACGATACTCCATCAACGTTACAGTTTGGTCCGGTGTATGATCATGACATATATTTCGACTTCTCAAATGAAATTCAAAACCGATCGATCTACAAAAACCTAATCATATATATAAAGAATGACAAGAATAAATTACACAAAAGTTTGTCAAGGAAGAAGACCAATGAAGGGGGTTGAAGGAGTGTAAGAAATACTTTGTAGGTTGGCTTCATGAATTGTAAACTTCACTTCTCCAAGAAATCCCATTACAAACTCAAACCCCATCTTCAATACTTTCATCCACATTTCCAATTTCTCAATCATCTTTCTCTCTCTCTATGTGTGTGTGTGTGCTGTTTATGCATATAATGCAATATGCATTTATATATATAAGTAGTCTATACATACATATATATATATATGTATGTATAGGATGTATGTATAGGATGAAAGTGAAAGGAAATGAAGTAGGTTTTATATGGCTTTTGGAATTCTTGAAGGGTCATATAAAGAACCAATATCTCAATAATGCAAATTGAACATGTGATGTAGATAATGCATGGAGTAATGTACGGCAAGACAAGATTGACTCTATGCTTGTATGCATGCCTTATCTTCTCATAATTTTAAAACGATTAAAAAGACAACAAAACGTATTGAACTAACGTGTTTGTATCATATAATACTGATATACAAATATTTATAGTTAAGAAAAAGATTTACAGTATAACTTAAAATATATGTTATTAAAATCAGAAGATTTTGACTGTTACCAATCAAATATAAAATATAACAGTATAATTTTATTTGATATATTTTAAATAAACCCATGAATAAAAAAAAGGTAAATAAAAAGGAAATGATTCAGTTGAAATACATTCGATGTTTATCCATAACCCTAAAAGAGATGTCTACTTGTTAATATAATACATTACTTTAACCTTTTTATAAAAGCAAGTGAACATTTAAAAGAAGAATGATAGTTAAGTTGTCTCAAAAACTACTATTTATAATAGGAGTCATGTACTTTTACAATTTAAAATTGAATTTTTGAATCATATATACAAACAAGTAAATCCAAGATCAGATTTCGATAAAACAAGACATCGTATATCGCGTTTTGGTGTACTATATTAGGGGTTGTTTGGTACAAAATGATTAAGAGGCTCTCATGATATAGTGTAAAGTGAAATATAATTGTTTGGTAATTGTTTACGATGAAATTAGGGCGCTGAATGGTTAAGGGAGACTTAGGATGCAAAATCATTCAAAAAATTTTAGAACTATTAAGAGGCAGATTTTTTTTTGTCAAACAAGATTCATCTTTTAATGATTTAGAGTCTGCCTCTTAATGAGATTATTAAGAGGTAAACAAACAACCTCTTATTACATTGCACACATTTGTTCTTGGATTGGGCTTCGATTATAATAATCAAGAGTTATGTTAGAATGTAAAAAA